CTACGGTCCATCGATCCCACAAAAAATCACACTGTTTAGGTATCAGCATAGAGAATACCCCATTTCTCCAACAGAAGTCTAATATTTAAATAATTATAGCTCTCATAAAATTATTTTTCAATTTTGTACATTCCAATGTCTCCAGCGTAATATGAAGCTTGGACCAATAGGTTCTGAGTTAGTGCAAAATTTGAATATTTATACCCTACACCACGAGGTGGTCAGGGTATTATGTCTTTGTGCATTTGTTTGTAACAGGCAAAAGGAAACGAGATAGACCCATAGTTCCTTTTGATGATATGCATAGAATCACATTCTGAGTCGATTTATGTATGTCCGTCCGTCCGTCTGTCCGTCTGTCTATGCATTTTTGTAAACAAAGTACAGTTCGCATTTATTGTCTTGAAATTTTGCACAAATCATTTGTTTGGCACAAGGACGAACCCTATTGAAATTGGAGATAATCGGTCAAAATTTAGATATAGCTCCCATATATATCTTCGTCCGATTTGCCTTTTATTGTGCACCAAACGTGTCATAACAGTCCGAATTGTATGGAATTTTGCACATACGATCAGATTGGAGCTGATAATAAGTATACCAAATTTGATCGAAATCGGTTCAGATATAGCTATAGCTCCCATATATATTGTTCATCCGATTTGCTACTTTTGTCCTCCGCAGCCGTAATATGCACCCTGTAACAACAATATTTGGGAAAATATATCAAATACAGCTCAGAAATACATTTGCTAAATTTTATCGAGATCGGTTCAGATTTGGATATAGCTCCCATATATAACTTCGTCCGATTTACCTTTTATTGTGCACTAAACGTCTAATATTTGTCCAAATGAGATGGAATTTGGTACTTACGACCGAATTGAGTGTAGAAGCTAGTATGTCAAATTTGGTGAAGATCGGTTCAGATAAAGCTATAGCTCCCATATATCTGATTTGTCATATTTGTTACCAACAGCCGTAATATGCATACACACGATAATTAGGGAAATATATCAAATACAGCTCAGAAATATCTTTGCCAAATTTTATCGAGTTCGGTTCCGATTTGGATATAGCTCCCATATATATTTTTATCCGATTTCAAATTAATTGTGCACCAAATGGGCAATACAAGTCCGAACTTAAAAGATACAAATGCTTCGGCATATTTAGTTCTTTGAACTTGAAATTATAATTATAATCATAGCGTGTATGATTGAATTCTCCATAAAAACTTTTAATTGTAATGGGCAGCTCTACTAAATTAGCAAAGTGGTGTAAGTCGGCCCCGGCCGACTTTAAGACTTTCTTTACTGGTTTTATATTTGTATAAACCTTATGGTATCCCTTCTCCCTCTCGAAAGATTTTAATTTTGTATAATCCGAAGTATCTCTATTATATTGATACATTTAGTTCCTGATTCTCTTAAATTTTTCGGAAAATGAATAATATCTCTCATAAAAAGGGAAATAAATATTTATATCGAAAATATATGAAGTTCCATGTTTGGAATCTTTTAGTGCAATTTTTCTCCTTAAACGACTTAAAAAAACGTAAAACTCCTAAAAAGGAAGGAAACCAAGTTTAAAAGTACCAGTTTGCCGAAAGACGTATACCCTCAGCCAATGTTCAATTATTTAATTTTATTTTGACTTCTGTTACGACTATGCAAACTCTTGGAGTGGGTTCTGAAGTATAGGGTCAATATTGTCCATTTCATATCGGACCGAAATAATATGATTTAAATATTGCGAGTATCAGAAGTGGTTCGCAGATATATATGATCTTCATAACAGATCTCGTGTTAGCAAAAATGTTTGCATGTGTGAAATTTGAGGAGAGTTGGATGCATATTTCACTTTCTTTGAGCGTGTTTTGTTTGTCAAAATCTTGAACCGTATGTGGGGGAGGTATCATAAGAAATGGTCTGATCTCTACCATCTTTATAACAGATCTTATGTTGATGGAAATATTGAAATGAAATCAAGTTTGGAATGAAACCGGATGTTAATTTCGCTTTTTTTGAGTTTCATTTAAAGAAGAAGGAGCGGGGCCGATATATCCCATTTTCACAACAGATCTTGTGTTAGTGGATATAATGGAGTGTGTAAAATATAAAGAGAACCTGATGCTTATTTCGGATTTTATAAACGTTTTGGTTATTCAAAACTTTGACACTTTTTGGGGTAGGTACCAGAAGCAATGGTCCATTCTCTACCGTCTTTATAACAGATCCTGTGTTGAAAGAAATATTCAGATGTGCCAAGTCTCAATGGGGTCGGATGCTAATTTCGCGTTTTATGAGCTTAATGGTTATTCAAAAAAAAAAAAAAAAAAAAAAAAAAAAAGGAGTGGATCGAAATATTAACACCAGATCTTGGGTTTATACAAATATTAGGATATGAGAAATTTGAACACAATCGGACTCTTTTTTTAAGACTTACAATTATTCAAAATGTTTACCCTTTGTGGGAGAGGCACTTGATGGAGTGGACCAATATTATCCATTTTCGCACCAGACCTAGAATTGATGCAAATACTCATGTCAGACCCAACAAAGTATATATATTCTTGATCAGCGTAAAATTCTAAGACGATTTAGCCATATCTGTCTGCCTGTCTGTCTGTTGTAATCACGCTATCTTTCGAACAAATTGTGATAGAAGGCTAAAATTTTGCACACATGTATATATTGCCAGTAGTCAGGTTAAGTTCGTAAATGGGCCATGTAGGTCCAAGTTATCATGTAGCCCCCATATAACGGTACCTCCCGATATTCGGTATTTTGATGATTTTAGCGACATTATTCACCGGAATTGTTTCGAATTTGGCATTTGAAGTTCGTAATGGATACTACAGCCTAGGACAGAAAATTATCTGTGCAGGTTCACGCCTTCGTATATCCCTCATGTAACGGTACCCCCCGATATTAGGTATTTCGATGATTTTAGCGACATTATTTACCGGAATCGTTTCAAATTTTGTATTTGAAGTTCGTAATGGATACTACATCCTAAGTCAAAAAATTAACAATGTAGGTCCACGTCTTCATATAGCCCCCATATAACGGTACCTCCCGATATTCGGTATTTGGATGATTTTAGCGACATTATTTAACGGAATCGTTCCAAATGTGGTATTTGAAGTTCGTAATAGATAGTGCAGCATAAAACAGAAAATGAGCCATGTAGGTCCACGTCTTCGTATAGCCCCCATATACCGTACCCCCCCCCCCATATTCGGTATTTTTGAGATTTTAACAGAATTTTTAACGGATTTTATTTCTTTGGAAATTGCCAAATTTGTGCCAAATGGTGGAGGGTATTAAAAGCTCGGACCGGTCGAACTTACAGCTTTTTTACTTGTTTTTTTTTTTTGAAAATTTCGAAATTTCGCGGGGTAGGTACCAGGATGAGTGGACCGATATTGCCCATCTCCGAACTCGATCTAAGTTTGACAAAAATATTAGGATATGCCAAGTTTGGACCAAATCGGATATTCCCTTGGAGAGTTGTCGTGCGAACCAGCCAGTCAGGCAGACGGACGTCGCTAGATCGACTCCAAATGTCCTGCAACGAGTTTGGTCCAAGAAGGGTCTAAAACCGACTAGGCACGTTTTGACAGTATCAAATGATATATACCCTCTCTAGTCATATGGCTAAGGGTGTAATAATAAATCAATAATGAAAAAATTTGCCAAAAAAAGCAGGTAAGTTCAGCCGAACCGATCATTTCACATCCTTCGCCATTTGTGAAGTAACTTATGTGAAAATATGTTAACCTATATAGAATTTGTTCTACAAGAGTCCTACTCTTGTGGCCTTTACCAAATTCAAATTAAGTTGTTCAGGTTAAAAAAAAAAAAAAAAAAAAAAAAATACCGAAAAACTTGGAGTACCCTAACGTGGACCACAGGAGGTAGAGCCTGTTACCAATCCTAAATTCGGAATTTAAAATTATTCATTTAAGGTCATGTCGAATATTCGGAGAGAAATTAAATGGGGCTAGACGATAACGCGGACTACAAAAGACAATATTCTGCAACAGGAAGTTGAACCCGTTATGAACTCTTAATTCCGAATTTCAAATTATTAAATTAGAAACTGTGGGGAGGGGGCTGAACGAAAACGTTGACCTTCGAATTTACCAAAAGACAACTTCATGCAAAATCCTCGATTCCTATAACATGCGGTCTAAAATTTGAATATAATTAAATATCAGTGTTATTTTTTCACATTTCCTACATTCCAATATTTTTAGCAACAAAAGTATAGCGGGAAGATAAAATATATTCACCCACTCTTTCAGATAACTTGACTTGAAGAGGTGAAATTTTTCAAAAACAACATATATTTTGGAGTAGATTTTTTCATTGCTCAAAATTTCAAAAATCATAGCTCTCAAAAAAATTTTATGATTTTCAGATTTTTTTAAAAAGAAAAGAAAAATCTGCTCAAAAAAAAAAACCAAAAAAAATTTCAGATTTTTTTAAAAAGAAAAATCTGCTCAAAAAAAAAAAAAACCAAGTCTCAATCACTGTGCGAAAGTGAAATGAGACAATGTCGCGGGAATTGACATTGAACGTAAGCGAAAGAGATGGAGGACGAGAGAATAAATATAACTAATTTAATTGCACATCGCCGCCTAGAGGGACATGTGAAGGATCTCGTATGCTGTCGCTACAAACGAGTGTTTGGGTATTTAATTCTAGGTGTCAGTTTAATTTCTATCTAAAGACTGTGCATGTGTTGTACAAGTGTGTGTCGTCTGTGTGTGTGTTATCGCTCTGTGTGTTCCTGTGTCTGTGCATATGTGCCTGTGTGAGTGAGTGTGTGTGTGTGGTAATTTTATAGTGAAAGTTGTAGAATAGCTGTCTAGTTGGAAGCCAGTGTAGTGGTATTTACAACACACATATCCACACACATACACACACTCATGTAGATGTAATAATCAATTAGTGAAGCATTCAGTCAAAGTGACAACGACAGAGCCTTACCTTTCCCACGACAGACGACGTGGAGCATCTTCAATGGCACACAGACCAGAAAAATTCATATCATATTGTTGTTGTTGCTGCAGGTGCTGGTAGTGATGCTGCTGATGTTGTTGTTGCTGGTGGTGCTGCTGCTGATGCTGGGACTTTGATGAAATACTGGAACTTGATTGATGTAACAATTTCACTAAACGCCGTGTCAGAGCAATATTCGATGTCGACGACGATGATGTGCTGCTGCTATTCGAAGCATTCGTTTGCGTATTGGAGTTGGAGAAACCGGATGTTGTATTGCTGCTGCTACTGCTGCTATGCTGTTGGTCGGAAGAGGAGACACCACTACTACTTCCACAGCCGCTGAAGCCAGGAATTTGGCAACCACTCTCCACGGTGGGTGTATTGTCAGCCAATGTGGTCGATGTTGAGCCTCCGAATATCGATGCTGAGCGTTTCTTGGAAGCCAAGCGATAGGCACGTGCGGCCACAACATGTGGAGCAGGTATTCTATTATGGCCGAAACGAACAAATGCATGGACGTTGGCGGAAGGAGAGGGGAGAAATGAACAATTGATATTAAAGACATTGATATGGAAGGAATGAGAAGACCAAACGCCATGACAAAATGTGTGCGCAACACACACGCACGCACACACTCGCTGGCAGGCAGGCACACACAGTCGCACAAACACCAAGGCACAACACATCAAACATTGGTTAACATTGAATATGTAATTTACTAATAGTGATAAGCATAAATACATTTTGTTAAATTTAGATAAATATACATATATATGTATGCATAACTACTTAATGACATTGGCAGCAATACGTAACTCATATTGGTTCGCTTGTCATAAATAGTTAAAGTCAATATTAAATTTATTTCAGTATTTCCTAAATATGAAATGGAAATATTTAAGTTAATATTGTCTTCAAAAATATATATTTGTTTTAAATATATTTCATGGTGTTAATCTATTATTGAAAGAACAAGTTAAAAAGCAGTAAGTTCGGCCGGGCCAAACTTTGAATACCATCCACCATTAGGAACGAATTTGGAAATTTTCAAAAAATAAAATCCTTAAAAAATTCTGTTAAAATTTTAAAACAACCGAATATAGCCGTTATATTGGGGTCTATACGACGTGGACCTATAAAGGCATTGTTTGCCATTAGCCATTACCATATTCAAATTCGAAACTTGAAATAAACGGTGAATAATGTAGCTAAAATCATCAAAATATCGTATATAGGGAGGTACCGTTATATCGGAGCTGTGCGAAGACCTGGACCAGCATAGACAATTTTCTGTCACAGGCTATAGCATCCATTACGAACGTCAAAAACGATATCTCAAATAATTTCGTTGGGTATTGTACCTCAACTCGTCAAAATACCAAATATATATGGAGGTACTGATATATGGGGCCTATACGAAGACCTGGACCTGCATAGACAATTTTCTGTCATAGGCTGTAGTATCCATTTCGAACTTCAAATACTAAATTTGAAACAATTCCGGTGAATAATGTCGCTAAATTTATCAAAATACCGAATGTCGGGAGGTACCGTTATATGGGGGCTATATGAAATCGTGGACCTACATGGCCCATTTACGAAATTAACCTTCCTACTGGAAAAATAAACACGTGTGCAGTCTATCTCAATTCCTTCGAAAGATAGCGTGATTACAACAGACAGACAGACAGACGGACAGACAGATAGACGGACATGGCTAAATCGACTTAGAATTTTACGCTGATAGAGAATATATACTTTGTTGGGTCTGACATGAGTATTTCCAGGAATATGCCCTCCATAGTATGGTGGAGGGTATAAAAGTTGTGACACTTTGTGGGTGAGGTACCAAGTCTTGGTTATTCAAAACTTTGACCCATTGTGGGTGAGTTACCAGAAGGAATGTTCCGATATTCCATCTTAACGCCAGACCTTGGGTTAATAAAATTATTGGGATCGGACCCTTACACCACAATTTATAAGAGTTTTAATTATTCAAGATTTTGACTTTTTGTGGGGAAGGTGGCGTGGGCCGATATTATATATTTTCGCACCTGATGCAAATATTTGGATTTGCAAAGTTGGAGCAAATGGTATTATCATTTCTCTTTCTGTGCCAAAAATTTTTATACCCTCCACCAAAAAAGTATGGAGGGTACATTAAGTTCGTCATTCCGTTTGTAACTCATCGAAATAATCATTTTAGACCCAACAAAGTATATATATTCTTGATCAGCGTAAAATTTTAAGACGATTTAGCTACAGTCTAAACGAATTAAGATAGGAAGCTAAAATTGTGCACAGATCTCTTTTTTGTCTGCAGGCAGGCCAAGTTCGAAGATGGAGTATATCGGTCCACTATATCGTATAGCCCCCATATAACGGTACCCCCGGTATTCGGCATTTTGATGATTTTAGCCACATTTTTCAACGGAATTGTCTGAAAATTCAAACAAGGAGTTCCTTGTGGGTATTTTATACCTCGGCAGAGAATTATCTATATAGGTCCACGATATCGAATAGCCCCCATATAACGGTACTCTCCTATATTCGGTATTTTGATTATTTTACCCACATTTTTCCACGGAATTGTCTGAAATTCCACAAAAGGAGTCCCTTGTGGGCATTTTACTCCCTCAAAAAGAATTGTCTATATAGGTCCACGATATCGTATAGCCCCCATATAACTGTACCCCTCGATATTCGGTATTTTGATGATGTTAGCCACATTTTTCAATGGAATTGTCTTAAAATCCACACAAGTAGTTACTTGTGAGTACTTTACCCCCTGAAAGAGAATTGTCTATACAGGTCCACGATATCGTATATCCCCCATATAACGGTACCCTCCGATATTCGGTATTTTTATGATTTTACCCACATTTTTTATCGGAATCCACACAAGGAGTTCCTTGTGGGTACTTTATATCTCGACAGAGAATTATCTATATAGGTCCACGATATCGTATAGCCCTTATATAACGGTACCCTCGATATTCGGTATTTTGATGTTTTTAGCCATATTTTTCAACGGAATGGTCACAAGGGGTTCTTTGTACACAAGGGGTTCTTTGTGAGCACTTTACCCCCTGACATATATAGGTCCACAATAGCGTATATCCCCCATATATCGGCACCTTCCAATATTAGGTATTTGAAAGATTTCAACAGAATTTTCAATGGATTTTATTTTTTTAATATTTTCTAATTCGTTCTAAATGGTGGAGGGTATCCAAAGTTCGGCCCGGCCGAACTTACTGCTTTTTTACTTGTTTTTTTTTTTTTTGAAAATTTCGATCTTTTGTGGGGGAGGTACCAAAAGGAGTGGACTGATATATTCCATCTTAACATCAGACCTTGGGTTAATAAAATTGTTGGGATGTGTGAATTTTGAAGACAATTGGACTCTTACATCACATTTTATAAGAGTTGTAGATTTTGACACTTTGTGGGGGAGGTACTAGATAGAGTGGACCGATATTGTCAGTTTTTGTCCTTTGTGGGGAGGTACCAGAAGGGGTGGAGAAATATTGCCCAGTTTGACAAAAATTTTACAATGTACCCAGCTTGGACCAAATCGGATACTCCATTCGAGAGTTATCGTGCGCACCAGCCAGACAGACAAACGGACGGACGGGTCGCTAGATCGACTCCAAATGTTCTGAAACGGATTTGGCCCAAAGAGACCTAGGATTTAAAACCGTTATTTCGACTAGGCACGTTTTGACCGCATCAAATGATATATACCCTCTCTGGCCATATGACTGAGGTTATAAAAATACGTTTCAGGACATATTGGGGTCGATCTTGCGATACCCTTCTGCCCGTCCGTAATATTTTTACCAAATTTAGATCGAGCAAAGAAATGGGCGAAGTCAGTCGACTAATTCTCGTGCCTGTCATGTAAAATTCCGTTCATTTTCGCATATAGCGGTCCGGATCAGAACAGTTTGCAGATCTATGTTAAACACACATATATATACAAAGGAGTAGTGAAAAATCTGACTGATCTCGTAGTTTAAGGTTACGAATAGTTGAAAAATGATACTTAATTTCTAAAATAGTACCATTTGAATGAAGTTGGAATTTTGAAATTTTGTACTGGGGTCCCCGTGGTTTGGTTGTGATAAAGAGATGGTTTTGCAACTGTGCACAACAAGTGCACGAAAAGTACAAAAAAGTACTACATTTCGTACAATTTCGTATTCGTTGAATAGATAGTGCTTCAAAATTGAAATTTGGTATTAGGGTCGCTGTTCATGTGTAGCCTGGACATATGGAGGTAGTTTCGAAAATTTGTACTATAATTGTACGAAAATTACAGAATGACAACATATTTGGTATTGGATGAAGGAATAGAGATACAATTCTGAAACTTGATATTTAGATTACTGATGGTATCTGTGTTGGTGAAATCCTGAAATGTGATTTTAAGATCACTATAAGTATCTGAGGTTAAGAAATGGAGATTGTTTTGGATATGTGTACCATAATTGTTCGAAATATACTAAATTTTACTAACTTGCGTGTTGGATGAAGGGATAGAGCTGGAATCCCGAAATTGATACAAAGTTGGGTATTGGATGAAGGTATGGAATTGGAACCCGGAAATTTTACATAGAGGATTTGCAAATTCGTACTGTAATTGTTCGAAAAGTACTAAATGGTATTGGGTGAAAAGATAGAAGTGAAATTCTGAAATTTGGTATTGGGGTCACTGTTGGTTTCATGGGTTTACATATGGAGTCGTTGAAATATTTTTGGACAGAAAAAATGGATATGGATCAATGTACAATTGTTTTACTAATATTCTTCTCCATAAACTTCAAAATAAAAGATTTTGAAAACGTTTTGGTGTAAATGATACATTTTTCTTTAAATCTTTCCGAAAAGGAAAAACTGAACAAATTGTACATTTAGGATACTAAGAAGTAAAAAGCAGTAGGTTCGGATGGGCCGAAATATGAATACTTTCCACCATTAGTAAGGAATTTAAAAATTTTCAAAAACATTGCGTTGAAAAATACTGCTAAAATCATAAAATATCGAAAATAGGGAGGTAGCGTTGCATGGGGGCTTTACGAAAATAAAACAAATGATTTTATGTCATTGGATGTACAGGGTTGTCCATATTCGATGGACCCATCTGGCAACGCCATAACTTTTGACAGAGATGTCACATCGCTTAATGACATACCGCGTTTGAAGCGTCAGTCCACAACTAGTCAAAAAGCTTATAAAAAAGGAAATGAGTATCCGATTATTTTGAAGACGAAAGATCTCTTCCTTCTGGTACCTCCCCATTAAACTCAAGATTTAAAATAAATATCAACCCTCTACGTTCGATAAACACCCTCTCAAAGAAAAAAAAAAAAAAATAAATAAATAAAATAATAAACTTTTCGAAAAATAACTTTTCGAGTTATAGAGTGAAGATGGAACTCATCGGCCCATTCTTTCAGGTACCTTCCACACAAAGGGTAAAA